AAAGAAAGAAAGAAAGAAAGAAAGAAAGAAAGAAAGAAAGAAAGAAAGAAAGAAAGAAAGAAAGAAAGAAAATGTGTGATAAAATTCCTGCCTTGTGCATTAATCTACACTACAATTATTTGCAACCAGACATAAAATGTGTAGTTCTAGGGGGGGGGAATGTGGACTTTGGAAATTCAAATCATGCAAAAGATGTGTTACATTAGCTTATGCAAAAAGTGACCGGAGATGATGTGAAAGTTGTAAGTAGTCCTGACTCCTCCAGAACCCCAGATCCCAACCAAGTGCACCCATTTCTACTCCACCTATTGGTAATGCTTCCTGCCGATGCCACTGCTCTGCTCCATAGAGGGTTCCCCAATGTTTTAAAGCTGGGGGGGGGGGGAATCCTTTTTGAACCCTTTTCTTGACAAATCATGTGAAATCGTCAATATTCCGATAACAGCAGTGATGCACTACCTGTGCAAATTGCAATCACAGGCCTTGCGTTAGTTCCAAATTTGCATTTTTTTAAAAAAGGGTGGGGGGCCTATCATCATAACCTGCATCACTAAGAATTCTCCACCCACTTGACAAGAAGGGGAAAGAAAGTGGTAAAGGAAATAGATCAAGCTGGCTAAGTAGTCATCTCCCCTGTGCTTCTGTACAGCTGATGGCAAGCTGGCCTCAGTCCTGCAGCAAGCCTCCCTCCCTGTGGTGAGTCATGCAACCTGCTCCACTCCAGAGTACTGGGGCTCAAAAGTCGAGGACAACATGGTGTGTGCTGGAGGGGATGGCACATGTGCTGGATGTCAGGTAATTGTTTGCTGGGGGGAAACACAAGCATATTAAAGGGCCAAATTAGATGTCGCGGTTTGTAACAAGTTGGGGGTCATGGGGCCTGTCCTAGGTTTTCCAACACTGGGTTGGGAAATCCCTAAAGATTTGGGGGTAGAGTCTGGGGAGGGTGAAGTTTCCAGGTGGGGCCTAGGGATCTCTCAGAATTACAGCCCATCTCCAGGCTACAGAGATCAGTTCTCTTGGACAAAACGGGTGCTTTGGAGGGTGGACTCTATGACATTGTACCCCACTGAGGTCCCTGTCCTCCCCAGGCTCCACCCCCAGATCTCTAGGTGTTTCCTAACCTGGAGCTGGCCAAGGGGGACCTGGCAACCCTAGGTTTGGGGAGGGGAGCAACCTCAGCATGGCACAATGTCATACAGTCCACCCTCCAAAGCAGCCCTTTTCTCCAAGTGAATTGAACTCTGTAGTCTGGAGATCAATTGCAATTCTGGGGGGGTCTCCAGGCCCTGCCTGGAGGTTGACAACCCCAGCATCTCCCCAACAGGCCAAATAGTGCCCCCATGGGGCCATTTTGAATCAGGAAAATGGTGTAGCGGGAATGGCTAGCCTCCTCCAGGGTCGGGGGAGAAAGGGTGGCACTTGGGGGGGGGGAGTTATCCCAGCAGTATCCACTAGAATGTGGTGTCCCGTAGGGAGTAATTCTCTCCCCCAGGCTGTTTAATATCTATATGTGGCCCCTTGCCTAGATTATCTGGAGATATGGGCTGGGTTGTCACCAGTATGTGGATGACACCCAGCTCTGTCTACTGATGGATGGCCGCCCAGACATGGCCCCAGGACACCTTGACAAGGCGTTATAGGCTGTGGCTGGATTACTATGACTGAGCCGACTTAAGTTAAATCCATCTAAGACGAAGGTCCTGTACCTCAGTCATGGGGGATTGGGTCAAGGAATCAGGCTAAGTAGTCATCTCCCCTGTGCTTCTGTACAGCTGATGGCAAGCTGGCCTCAGTCCTGCAGCAAGCCTCCCTCCCTGTGGTGAGTCATGCAACCTGCTCCACTCCAGAGTACTGGGGCTCAAAAGTCGAGGACAACATGGTGTGTGCTGGAGGGGATGGCACATGTGCTGGATGTCAGGTAATTGTTTGCTGGGGGGAAACACAAGCATATTAAAGGGCCAAATTAGATGTCGCGGTTTGTAACAAGTTGGGGGTCATGGGGCCTGTCCTAGGTTTTCCAACACTGGGTTGGGAAATCCCTAAAGATTTGGGGGTAGAGTCTGGGGAGGGTGAAGTTTCCAGGTGGGGCCTAGGGATCTCTCAGAATTACAGCCCATCTCCAGGCTACAGAGATCAGTTCTCTTGGACAAAACGGGTGCTTTGGAGGGTGGACTCTATGACATTGTACCCCACTGAGGTCCCTGTCCTCCCCAGGCTCCACCCCCAGATCTCTAGGTGTTTCCTAACCTGTGTGGGCTCGTATCCACCCGGTGCTGCATAAACTGCAATGGCTGCCTATTAAATTCCAGATCCGTTTCAAGGTGCTGCTGCTTACCTTTAAAGACCTATACGGCCAGAGGCCAGCATACCTATGAGACCACCTCTCCCCATACGAGCCCCGGAGGGCACTGAGGTCCACAAATCAACATCTTTTAGTGGTCCCCAGCCCCAGAGATGTCGATTAGCCTCAACCAGGGCCAGGGCTTTTTCAGCCCAGCCCCTGCCTGGTGGAATGAGCTCCCCTATGAGAGCTAGGCCCTGTGGTACTTATTACAGTTCCACAAGGCCTGCAAAACAGGGATTTTCCACCGGGCATTTGGTTGAGGCGGCGGATGTCCCACCCACCACAGCTTTTTTGGCCAATAGTCCATCAGTGGCCTGATCCGACTGGACATCTGATTGGATATTTAATTGTTATTGCTTTAACATCTGATCTCTCTGTTTACATGGTATTTTATGATATGATATTACTATGTGTAAATTATTTTAATATTATTTAAACTGTATTATTTTAATTGTTGTACACTGCCCTGAGCCCATTTAGGGAGGAGGTGGTATATAAATCTAAACAGATAAAATAAGCCCAAAGCCTCCCCTCTCCCTGAGTACCAGGGCTGCTTTTAAGATACTCTGAGGTGGGCCCAGGGGCTTCTGGCGGGACCCACTGCAGCCAAACCCCCCACCAGTACACCCTTCCCCCAGTGATTGTTCCACCACCTGCATTGCTGTTCCTGCTGCGTGGCGACTCGAGGGAAGGGTGTAAAGGTGACGCACAGCAGTACTGCTCATGGCAGACGCACCCCTAGCTGCATGCACCAGCAAACAGTGTTCTGAAGGGAAAGGGCATGCAAGCCAGGCAGGGGGTTGAAAGTCCAGGTGGATGGAAGGGCTCACAAGTGGGGGTGGGGACAACAAGCAGGTGGGGGGCATGCGGGCCAGTGGGCAGGAAGGGAGATGAGGCTGGGGCCAGATTATGGTTAACAGAGGGCACTTGAGCAACCTCTGCCCAGCCCACCCCCAAGCCTGGAACCAGCCCTGCCCTGTGCCGCAATCCTGCTATGTACCTGGTGCCTACGGCACTTGGGAAATTAACTCCTAGATGTTGCCATCCGACTAAAGGGTGTGTGTTTGTTTATTCTTCAAAATCTAAAATTATAATTTTAAAAATGGTTATTTACATTTGATTTCAAAGAACGCAATCAGTCTTTGGAAAGGATGATCATTTCTGTATTAACATTCGCATTTTGGTAATGACTTGGTTGCTGATTTTTTAACAAGTAGCACATTTCAAATTAGAATGTCAAAGTTTTCTACCAACTAATCCCAGAATATGTGTCTCCCTCTGACACTAAACCTGATGGCCATGTGCTTTAGCGGAGCAAGGAAAATCAAGGTTTCTGCAGAGGATTTGTGGAAATATATCAGGTTGGGTCCACCAGAGCATTTCCACAGATGCATGCAGTTCTGTTGGCAAACCACACCTCCCCTAGGGTTGCCAGCCTTCAGGTGGGGCCTGGAGATCTCCCGCTTTTATAACTAATCTCCCGCTGATAGAGATCAGCTCCCCTGGAGAAAATGGCTGCTTTGAAGGGTGGTCTCTATGGCATTGTACCATGCTGAGGCCCCTCCCCTCCCCAAACCCCACCCTTTCCAGGATCCACCCCCAAAGTCTCCAGGTATTTTCCAACCCAGAGTTGGCAACCCTAACCTCCATCCTCCTGCTGCACCCTGAAATGCCCCCCTAAAATGCCCAGGAGCAGCAAGTTAGGGGGCATTTGGGGCTGCAGCAGGAGAGGGGCACTGAGAAAGTCACACCTTGTAGATGGAAATTCGTCCCCAGAAATGCTCCAGTGGATCCAAGCCATTCATTAAAAAGAAGACTCCTCCTCAAATGGCCTGAAAAGGCCTAAACATTCTCATTTTCATGCGGGAGCCACAGAATGTTAAAGAGGTGAGAAGAGAAGGCGATGGGATGGGAGAATGGCTTACTTAAATGCCACATCTCCAGAGGGCTGCTTGAGGTTTCAACTCCTAATATCTTAGGGCCCTAACAACCTGCAAGGGGAGATCGATGCCAGGGATAAAATTCTCTATTCCTCATGAGTTCTTAACTGGGATAATATTCTTCTGTGATTGTCCCTTCTTTATCTGAGAGGCAGCCATAAAAAAAAAACACCTCTCTGCTTGTGCTTGCTGTTTGGAGCCGGAAAAATAATGATACTGTTAGGAGGGCATTCCCTTTAATCTAAGATCAACAGTGCCATGCCTTTGTTGAACTCACCACAGATGGTTTCCCAAGTACAGCCCTTTACTTTCCCTATAAGAGTGAACAGCAGCCATTTGCTTATATGAGGGAGAGGGTCAGAGATAATTTTAGTGTGGAGAAATTTTTTTGCCGAAGATCTCAGAGATCATCTCCCTTATAAATAAAAGCCAAATGGTGGTGGCACTTCTCTAGAACATTCCACACGCTCCAAAATCAGTTCGCTCTCTGATCTGTCATTCAGAGGGTCTCCCTATCCACTGGCTGCTTTGCCTGAGTCCTGCCTCCAACATTCTAAACATTTTGCTAATCCTCTCCCCCCCATAGCCAGTCAGAACACAGAGGTTATTTGCAAATGCAGCCTCATTGGCCTCTGCCTCGGAACACAGAGGTCGTTTGCATATGAAACTTGATTGGCTTTTGCCTCTAACATTCTAAACAGTTTTGGTGTTCTGAGGTAAAATGTGTCCAATCTCCAGGTGAGGGCTAGAGATCACTCAGAATTCCAACTGCTTTCCAGATGGCAGAGATCAGTTCCCCTGGAGAAAATGGTTGGCCCTGTATCCTTATATGCTGCTGAGGTGGCCCCCGTATGACAGCAAATGTGACGTAGCAGTCAGGGCTTCAGAGCACGGGAGAGGCTGCAGGTGTGTGGGGGGTGGAACGTTGAAGAGTCAGGGGGAAATAAAGGTAGGTTGATGATTGGCTGGGAAGGAAATAGGGTTGCCAACTCCAGGTTGGGAAATTCCTGGAGATGTGAGGGATGGAGCCTGGAGAGGGTGATGTTTCAGGAGGCGTGGGACCTTGGACAGGTACAAAGCCAGAGACTCCACCCTCCAAACCAACTATTCCCTTCTGGGGAACCATCGTTGCCAATCTCCAGGTGAGGGCTGGAAATCACTCAAAATTACAACTGTTCTTTAGGTAGCAGAGATCCGTTCCTCTGGAGAAAATGGTGGACTCAGTGTCATTATACCCTGCTGAAGTCGCCACAGCAAATTGACACTGAGTGTCCAAGGCCGGGGCACCCGCCCAGAGCCTCTTTCCACAACGGGCCTTTTTCCTAGTAAAGATATAATGGAAAGTAGTCAGTGGACAAACAAACTGGGGTGAATTTGTATGCATGCATCATGTTTGCAAAAATGTCCAGTTCATTTTGAAAATTTTGTTCAAGTCTATTCACTTGAAATGTGGTAATTTCTTTCCCTTGCTTGTCAAGTTCTCATTTTTTGGCTGATTGAGTTTGGTTTCACAAGGGGCACAGTGCATTGCCTGAGTGGCAGATTTTCAACAAAATCAGTCTGTTTTGAAGCAGCTGCTCAAGTTGCTTAACTGGAGAGAAATTTTGCTCTTGTTATAAAAGTCAAAGAGAAAAGGAACACATCAAAAATGGGGGTGATGCATGCCTTCCCTCCCTGCTCTTTTCTCCAGGGGGATTCTGGAGGCCCTTTGAATTGCCTGGTGAGCGGCAAATACTATGTCTATGGAGTCACTAGCTTTGTTTCAAGTAAAGGATGTAACATCTATCAGAAACCCACCGTGTTCATCCGTGTCTCTGCCTACATTTACTGGATTAACAAGGTAAATTTATTGCAATAAACACCTATGGGGAAGAAATTACAGAGGATAGCAGAAGCACATATTGATAAGGTTGCCAATTCCAGGTTGGGAAAATACTGGAGATTTGCGGGTGGAGCCTGAGGAGGGTGCGGTTAGGGGGGGGAGGGACCTCAGTGGGGTGCAATGCCATAGAGTCCACCTTCCAAAGCAGCCATTTTCTCCAGATGAACTGATCTCTGTCCCCTGGAAATCAGTTGTAATCCCAGGAGATCTCCAGCCACCACCTGGAAGCTGGCAACCCTATTCCTCCTATCCAGTACAGACCCACACACAGATTTCACTCCCATGCTGTGTTCCCCATTTTCTTCTGATTCCAGAGGGACAGGTTTGGGGATGGCTGGAGCAGAATGTGGTAGTTGAGAGGGGGAGGAAAGGCAAAATTAAAAGCGTAACACTAATCTGAGGTGAATCGTGTCCCCAGAAATGGGGAAAAACACTTCCAGGATGAGGTACCAACTTCTATTGGGAAAGGTTAAACAAGAAAAGCCACATGTACACACACACACACACACACACATCTTGTTAGTCTACCTTTTAGATAGGACTGTAACAACCCTCATGTGATTGAGGAATGACCTGGTCACCCAACTGGCACACTGACTTGGGGAAATCTTTTCTAGCCTTCTTGCAGAACTCTACAATGTCCAGGATTCTTGGGGGAAGGGGTAACCAATAAATCATTTTAAATGTAAATATGCTTCTTAGCACAATTACCTTGTAAGCTTATTGGCAAATGCCTGTTCCTATTGTGGTCTTGGCTTTGTTGTGCTCACTCTCACAGCCTAATCTGTCTCGCAAGGTTGTTGAGAGGGTGAAGTAGTGGAGGGGAAAATTCCATACGCTGCCCTGAGCAACTTGGAGGACAATGGAGATTTTAAAAATCATGTATTTTATTTATTTACTTCATTTCTACCTCACCTTCCTCCCTCATGGAGACACACAGTGGCATACATCACTCTCCTCTCCTCCATTTTTATCCTCATCATAACCCCGTGAGGTAAATTAAACTGAATGTCTGTAACTGGCCTAAGGTGACTCAGCAAGCCACACTGTAGTAATAGACAAACCAGTGTGGTGTATGTATAAAGGGAGGGGCTTCTGTATTTTAAGAAGCCCTAGAGAGTATGTTTCTGTGCATAGACATTCCACACCTGTGGAATTTCTGTCAGTGGGGGACCAGTCATTCAGAGTCATCAGCCCAGTGCAGGCGTTGGACACACCGCAGAAATGTCCACAAGTTCTTATATATACAATTCTCCTAATGTATTGGCCATTTCCAGTTCTCCAACTGGCTGTGCTGTGCTCTCCATCAACCATTGACCCATCCACCGCCACTCAAGAGTAATCACGTGCCATTGGCTGGGTGCTGGGTCCGCTCCTCTTCCCCGCCCATTGCCACTGTTCCCCGTCAGAATAACTGCCTGATTAGCTCCTTCTCCTGCTTGGCTCCTGTGGGACTAACTTTTCCCTCAGTGGCTGTTGCTAGGCAACCAAGCTTGGTTCTGTCAATAAAAAGACAAAGAAATGAAGCCCTTTCCAGGCCTTTGTGGGGAACTCATTGGGGCCAGTCCTGACTAAGGTTGCCAGCACCAGGTTGGGAAATTCCTGGAGACTTTGTGCTGAAGTCTACGGAAGCCAGGGTTTAGGGAGGGGAAAGGCCTCAGCTGAATAGAATGCCATAGAGTCCACCCTCCAAAGCAGTTATTTTCTCCAGGGGGAGAGAGGTCTGTTGTCTGGAGTTCAGTTGTGATCCCAGGTGATACCACAGTCAGTGTGGCATAGCAGTTAGCGCTTCAGAGCAGAGTCTGCCAGACCCAGGTTCTTGCTGTGGAAGCTGGTTGGTGATTTTGGACCAGTCACAGACTTTTAGCCTAACCTACCTCACAGGGTTGTTGTGCAGATCAAAAGGGGTAGAAGAGAATGATGTAAGCTGCTTTGGCCCCACTGCAGAGAAAGACTGTGCTTTTCCTCCTGGGGAACCATTGGTGCCAATCTCCAGGTGAGGGCTGGAGATCACTCAGAATTACAGCTGCTCTCCAGATGACAGAGATCAATTCCCCTGGAGAAAATGGTTGACTCTGTGTCCTAATACCCTGCTGAGATGGCACCCCATGACAGCCAGTGTGACGTAGCAGTCAGGGCTTTAGAGCAGGGTAGAGGCTGCAGGTGGGGTGGGAGTTGGAAAGCTAAAGTCAGATGGGCAGGTAAAGGTAGATTGATGATTGGCTGGGAAGGAGATAGCATTGCCAACTCCAGGTTGGGAAATTCCTGGAGATTTTAGGGGTGGATCCTGGAGAGGGTAGAGTTTGAGGAGGGGTGGGACCTCAAACAGGTATAATGCCATAGGCTTCACCCTCCAAACCAGCCATTTCCTCCTGGGGAACCATTGTTGCCAATGTCCAGGTGAGGGCTGGAGATCACTCAGAATTACAACTGCTCTCCAGGAGAGAGAGAAGGAGATGGAAAGCTGAAGTCAGGGGGCAGATAATAGTAGGTTGATGGCTCGCTGGGAAGGAGATAGCATTGCCAACTCCAGGTTGGGAAATTCCTGGAGATTTTAGGGGTGGATCCTGGAGAGGGTAGAGTTTGAGGAGGGGTGGGACCTCCAACAGGTACAATGCCATAGGCTTCACCCTCCAAACCAGACATTTCCTCCTGGGGAACCACAGTTGCCAATCTCCAGGGCTGGAGATCACTTGGAATTACAGCTGCTCTTCAGATGGCAGAGATCAGTTCCCCTGGAGCAAA